GCATTCCTGAGATAAGTGACACTCTCCAGGGTCACAGGGGTCCCCATGGATGTGGCACTCCCTTCTTGGAGGGTCTTGGTTCCTGCAATAAGTCCAGGCATTCAGTAGCTGGGGAGGGGGCACCTGGGGCATGCGGGGATGAACAGATGTTTCTGGTGCCCAGGGGGAACCTTAGGGCTCACCCTCCATCCCAAATTCAATGAGGTTGGTGAGCCGTGCTGCCCGAGTGCCCTCCTGCAGCCGCCATGGGAATACGGGCTCAGGCAGACACACGCGTCCACGCTCCCAGCCTTGTCACACACTGGAAGGTGTCAGGCGTCCTTGTCTACCGACCCACCCTCCCCGCCCCCACAGGCACACACCACAGCCAAGCTCATCGCTGGAGTCGGAACAGTCTGGGTGGCCATCGCAGAGCCACGTGCGTGGGATACAGGAACCGCCCAGCGGGCAGCGCAGCTCTCCCTCCGGGCAGGGCTGGTGCCCGCAGTTGAGAACATTCTTGTTGATGCCATCAGGGCAGTCATCGATGCTGTCACAAGAGCAGGGGCTGCCAGTGGGTGGCTTGCACTGCCCGTCCTGGGCACACGGTTCAGTACCTGGGGTACAGGGTGAGTCAGGTCTCAAACACCCAGCCAAGAGGGTCCAGGTACTCCCCACAGCCCAACCTCCTGCAAGCCCCGCCTTCCGAGAACAATCGACCCTACATGTTTCGCCCATCCCAAAGGCTCCTCCCCCTGCTTCTGTTAGCTCCACCTTCCAAGGACTTGCCTCCCTGCAAGCCCTCCCTCCCAACCCCACTAACTCCGCCCCCCTGCAAACCCACCTCTCCCCAGACCTCCCTCGTTTCAGGCCCCGCCCACCCGAGTGCCCTGCCTGAAAGCCACATCCCTTCCACAAGCACCTCCTCCCTGTGGCCCCGCCCCCTTCAAGCCCCGCCCCCAGGGCATGGCCACTCACTGCACTCCTCCTCGTCACTGCCATCAAGGCAGTCCTGGTCAACGTCGCAGCGCCAGGTGAGGGGCACGCAGCGGCCATCACTCCTGCACTGGAAGTTGGTGGGCGGGCACGAGGCTGTGCTGGGGCCTGAGGGATGCACACAAGTGAGGCCTGGGAGGTCTGGACCCTCCTTTGGAAGCAGTGTCACAGGCTGCGACCACCAGTAGACAGGCCAGGTCCCAGGAACTACATTGGTGGTCACCCTTTGCTAAGGATGCACTATATGTGGGCCTTGGAGCTGAGCAGTTCACAGCCTCACCAAGAGCCCTACTGGGCAGATTCTACTCCCATGCCCATTCTACACAAGACACTTAGGAGCGGTAAGGCCTGAGGCTACAAGCTAGTGGTAGAGTCGGGGTTCGAACACAGGTCTCACTGATCCCGGGGTCTTTACCCGGCTCAAAATGGCCAGATGGTCTCCCCAGGAGTCTCTCCAAGTTCCGTAAACAGACTGGGGGAGGAGCCATCTCTGAACCTGGCCTGGCTCAGGCCCACCTGTCAGGGTCAGCAGGGCCCATTATGTCCCAGCTGCTCAGCAACGGGGAAACTGAGGCCTTGGGTAGAGGACCTGCTTAGTCACCGTGGCTTGTCGACTCACCCACTAAACTCCTCCCAGATCTGACCACTTTCCCCATCCTGAATGTGCCACCACCTCTCCAGATTCCCCACCCCCATCTCCACTCAGACACCAGAGACCTCTCAGAGCCACACCATTTGGTCACCCACCCTTGCCCCCCTTTGCTCAAAAACAGCCCTTGGTCAGAAATAGAGACGCAGATGTAGAGAATAAACGTATGGACACCAAGGGGGGAAAGTGGCAGGGGGGTGGTGGTGGGACGAATTGGGATTGACATATATACACTAATATGTATAAAAGATAACTAATAAGAACCTGCTGTATAAAAAAATAAAATAAAATTCAAAAAACCCCAGAAACCCAGCCCTTGGTCCCATGACCCTCTCACAACCAAATTCTACAACCTCCATGTGGCCCGCAAGTCCTGACCAGCCCTGAATCCTTCCTGGACCTCCCACTTTCCCCCTCTTCATCAAGCTCCCTCTGACCCGGCCACCTTGATGCTTCTGCAAGAGGCCTGGGCTCGTTTCCCCCTCAGGGCTTTTGCCCATGCTGTTCCCTGGTCCAGTTTGCCCTCTCCTCCCTCCTCTCTGCACCTCGTGATTTCCTCCTCAGACTTCACGTCTCAGCTTATTTCCTGGGAGGGGTCTCAGGCCCCTCTCAGAGACCCCTGAAGCTCAGCCTCCCACTTAGAACAATGGCCCTTGAACTGGCACCCGCATAGACTGGACACTTAGTGGTGGTCCGGGCAGTGAACTTTTGACTGTAAACCCAGGGCAGCGCCTAGTGATAAGTGGACACAGGTCACACAATGGTCCGGGCTGAGTCCAGCTGAGAATGTGAGCCTTCCTGGACACAGAGCAGGATGAACACAGAAGGGCCTGGAAGCTGGGCCATCAGGCGGGAGTCCGAGGGACAGAGGGAAGGGAGTGGGCTTTATGGTTTCCTCCTGGGTGCAGCAGGGAGGGTGGCAGATACCTGGCTTGGCCCCAGCCTAGTCCCCCTCCATACAATCCTGGTCCTCTTGTCCCTTCCACCTTTACTCACGAGGGCCTGTGCCTCCAAGCCCCCACTCCCCACAGCCAGCCCCTCTGCAGGCCGGCCTCCAGGCCCAACTGTACCTGTGGGGCACACAGTCCCTAAGCTCTGTGGAGCCAGCTGCAGCTGACTTCTTTCCCTGCCCATGGGGGTCTCTAAAGCTTCCTCCCCAGGACTTGCCACTCTTCCTAGCAACCTCTGACCTCCTTCCCCAGCCTGCTGGAGCATGTGTCCTTCTGTAAAGTGGATGGGCAGCAGAGCAGAGCAGAGCGGACCTGGCTTCACAGGGCTTTGGTATGGAGCAACCAGTGGTTGCACCTCCCAGCCTTAGTTTCCCCACCTGTAGAAGGGGCACGCTAGGAGTCCCTACCACAGTGTGCTAAAGAGAAGAGACGGCTTGTGTGTAGAGTGTGGTACTTGGTTAATGTGAGTCCTGATCCTTGAAGGAACCAGGAACATTTAGCCTGAAAAGGCAGGGGCTTTGGGGTGACATGGGGAACCAGATAAGATGGTGTGTGAACCTGAATCACAGCTGAAAGTCAGGGGCACGTGTGAGCACAAAGAGGTCACTCTAACCTGCCCAGCTGCCTCTGGGTACCTCTGAGAGGGCCACCAACATCATTTAGGCCAAGGCAAACGTGTCCAAGGGCCTGGGGTCACAGGGAAGACCTTTTTTTCTCTAAGGCCGGAGAAGGAAGGTGCAGAGATTGGGAGGGCGGAAACGGTCGCCGGTCGCCGAGCAAACTCAGCCACATGGCCCCAGGCGCCAGGGTATGGAAGCCACAGCTGCTGCAGGAGGCGCCAGGTGACCAGCTCCGTAAGGTTGGAAGTCGGACAAGCAGAGCCTGTGTAAAGAACTTTCCTGCCCACGCTGGAGTGAAGGGCCGCTTAGAGGTGACACCGGGGCACGACAAAGCAAAGCGACTGTAAGCCGGGCCTGAAGCAGGGTAGTTAAAGGCTGGCAGAGCAACCCAGGCGGAGGGTCCCCGACTGGGGAAGGCTCATTCAAGGGCCTGGGTCCCCTAGAGCCACGTGCAGGGGGGAGTGTCCGGGACGGACGTGCGGCGCAGCCAACGGTAAGGCGCTGCTGGCGGGCAGGGGCGGAGCTAAGCTGCAGGCTTGGAGGGCGCCAGGGATGTACGGAGCACACTCACCTGGGGCCTGGGTCAAGGACCAGGTCGGGATCGAGGTTGGGGCGGCCTCCAGGCCCAGCCCGAAGCTGAGCAGTACCCGCAGCGCTAGGCCGAGGGCCGCAGCCCGCTGCGCTCGGCTCCCCGCCATCCAACCGCTCATCGCGCCACCCCTGCCAGGCGCCGGCTCTGACCAAGACCAGTCCCTGCCTCGCTCTGATCCACGTACGCGCGTGCGCAAAGATCCGGGGGGCGGGGCCCACACCCGAGGCGGCCCCGCGTTATGGGTACCGTAAATGTCCGAATGCGAGGGGACCCACTATTTGAGCTCTTTCCCACTTTTCCCTGTGACAAGGTATATCGAAAGGTATTGGTCCTATTTGAAATTAGAAACTTCTGGAGGTGCAAACGAACTAGTACCGCCAAGTCTTGTCTACTTACAATATTTAACATTCCACATGCACCAAATACTCCTGCCTAATTATCCTAATATGGCAGCCACTTCCCTCTGGCACGCCCTCCTCCTGCTTCTCTCGAGCGCCTGACTTATTTACTTTGGTTTATTGTCTGATTCCCCACGAGAACATCAGGCCCAGGACAGGAATGCTGTGTTGTTCATTGTATCCCCAGTGCCTGGAACTGAGCCTAACACATAGCAGGCTCTTAAATATTTGGTGAATAAATGAAGGAAACGTTGGTTCTTGGTTTTCATCCTGGGTCCTCTGTCCCTTGCACCTGGATGTTTTCACTGACGCTCACTACCTCATAATCCCTCACTACCTCATAATCCGCACAGGCTCCTCAGAGGGGGGCGGGTCTTATATTTTACTCTGGGAACAAGACAGGCGAAAGCAGCCTGGGCTTTCTCTTCTCACGCTCACCCAGTAGGCACAAAAAATACAAACCTTCTGCAGGCTTTCTATCCAATTGGCTGCTGTGTTTTATCTACAGCTCTGCCCCTAGGAGAAGCAGCGCTACTGCCAGCAGGCCCCCCCAGACGACAAGTCACTGTCCTCAGCGTTTAACAGCTGTGCAAATTTCCCGTGAAGCAACACTAAAGCACAGAAGGGCCTCTATTTGCAGGTTGATGGCATGCTTATTCAAAAGTGTTACGAGAGGGCTTCCCTGGTGGCCCAATGGTTGAGAGTCCGCCTGCCGATGAAGGGGCACGGGTTCATGCCCCAGTCCGCGGAGATCCCACATGTCCCGGAGCGGCTGGGCCCGTGAGCCATGGCCGCTGAGCCTGCGCGTCCGGAGCCTGTGCTCCGCAACAGGAGAAGCCACAGCAGTGAGGCCCGCGTACGGGAAAAAAAAAAAAAAAAAGTGTTAGAGATTATAGCTGCATTTGGAGCGTATGTATACATATACATATATATAAATTTTTTCATAATAATCTCCAATTCCCAGGAGACATGGGGTAAGAGGCAAAGGTGCACTGGTGCAGAGGCAGTTGGAAAGGGCAGCAAATAGGACTGCCTGCGGGAGGGGAAGGGAGGGGAGGGGAGCGTCCCACACCACCTGTGAGGCTCGGCTTCTTGGTGAGGTTGGCATCTGGGGTCCAGGGAGAAAAACTGAAGCAGCTGTGGATTCACCCAGCTGACAATATGTAGCAGCTGAGTGCAGACTCATCAGCGGCTAGGTTCAGGGCCATCTCTCAGTGAGCCTGAGAGTTCTTTGCCTCTCCACGCCTGTTCTTCTGTTGAGGGTAAAAGGGTTTGACAACAGCTATAACCTCACAGGCTTGCTCCAGGAAGGAACCAAGATCACAGATATAACGCATTTAGAACGGTACCTGGCATAGAGGAAGTGCTCAAGAGGTGTCAGACCTCTTTCTTACTGCAGCCCCTCGCCAAACTTCAAGTCTGGGTCATAAATCTTTTTTTCTTTTTTTTGGCTTATACAGTAAACGACAATTTATTTTCTCACGGTTCTGGAAACTGGGAAGTCCAAGACCGTGGTGCCAGCAGATTCGGTGTCTAGTGAGGGCCCACATCCTCACTGACAACCATCTTTTCACTGCTACCTCACTTGGCAGAAGGGGGCTGGGTCATAAAACTTTATTCAGAAACTTTCAATGGCACATCTTGCCTGGGGTCTTTAAAAGCCCCAGTGTTACCCTCCTTGTGGCCTCTGCACACCCTGCCCAGCTCTCCTGACCTTTCTGTATCTAACTCATCCTTTGTTCCAACCAGAATCCCACCTCCTCCAGGAAGCCATCCCAGCCTTTTCTTCTCATAAGCATTTAGCATTTGTACCACCCACTCTTGGGGCACTTATACCTCCTCCTGGGACTGACCCTTTTCCTGCCTTGCTCCAAGCTTCCAAAGGCGGGCCAGCCTCAACACTCCCCTGGCATACAGCTGATCTTCACCTATTGATGGGCTTTGGGGTTCTTCCACAGGGCAGCCACAACACTCCCCGACCTGAGGTCACCGCATGGCTCCCTTTCACTCCTACAACCAAATCAAGGCCATTTCCTTTTCAGCTTTCACTCCCTGCTTATTCCTCCACAGAAAGCCCCTTCCTCTCCTGGGCTGACTCCGCCTCACGTCCCCCAGGTCCACACAGAAACGTTTCTGGCTCAGGGAGGCCTTTCCCCACTGGCCTAGGTGAGCCTTCCCTGTGAGCCACCTCACTGTCCTCTGCCGTCCCTGCTGAGCGGCAGGGTGATCAAGGTCAGGCAGGGGCCGCAGTGGGAGCCTGCTGGTTAATGTCCGCACAAGCAATGGCTAGGAGAGCTCTCGGGAGAGAAGAAAGCGAGCTGTTTTTGTTCCGCCGCACTGTCCTTTACAGTCAGTGCCCCCAAACACCCAGAGGTCCTGGAACCCGCTCTGACACTCTCAGAGTTAGAGCCAGGCCCTCGAGAAAGGGACGGTGACATCTCTGTGCCCAGCAACAGCACCGTCACCTTGGAGCTCGAAAACCACTATCCTCCCTGCTCCTGGAGCATTCATGGGATTAAGAGATTCGGCACCAACTTCACCCTGAAGTTCAAGTAAGCCTGTGTGTCCTTTCAAAAGTAAAAACAGAAGCGATCCTGGAGAACTCAATATATATTTTTTATAAATTAGGTCACGTTCTCCCCAGAGGGGATCCAAATTCCAAGGAAGAGGAAGCACTCCAGTGGCCCTGAGGGCTTAGCCAGGCACCCTGGGGCACAGTGTCACAGGTAAGGCTGATCCTTGGACAGCTCCCACCTCTTTATGGGAGGAGCTGGAGTCAAAGCCTTCTTCTCAGTGGCTGCTACAGCCGAGCTGGAAGATGAAAACAGACTTGAGTTAGGCCCAGGTTTCAGAGAACAGTGTGGAGGAAGCTGAGGGAGACCCCCCTGCCCCGGCAGGAACACATCTGCTGACACCATGGATCTGGAGGCCAGGGTGCAGGGTGTCTCAGAATGCCCAGAGCCCTCCAATGGGGTCCCCCAAAGGGTGAGATGACAAGCCCCCTTTCTGCCTCGAGCCCCGCATGAACCCCTGGTCGGCGTGCCTTGGCTCCTGGTCCCAGAACCAGCATGAATAGCTGGGCTCCTCCTCCAGCACCCCTTCCCACGCGCACCCCACTCCCGCTGCCCCAGAACAGGACACTGGCAGAAGGGCCAAGAACCACCACTGGGGGTCTGGGCAAACTGCTTTGAAATCATGCTTCTACTACCTGCCAGCTGTGTGACCCAGGCAGGGCACTTGGTCTCTCTGTGACTCAATTTCTTCTTCTGCAGCAGGGGCCTTCACTGCCTAACTCATGGAGTTATCAGGAGGCAGATATGGCACTGACTCCATTCTTGAGCTTACAGATTTTAATTATGAGGATTAATCCTCATAACGACTCTGCTATCGACAGAATGTGTCCCCACAAAATCCATATGTTGAAATCCTACGCCCCAATGTGATGATGTTACGGGGTGGAGCCTTTGGGAGGTGACTAGATCATGAAGGTGAAGCCCTTATAAATGGGGTTAGTGCCCTTATAAGAGACCCTAGAGATCCCTTGCCCCTTCCAACATGTGAGGACATGGCAAAAAGATACCATCTGTGGGGACTTCCCTGGAGGTCCAGTATTAGGACTCAGCGCTTCCACTGCAAGGGGCATGGGTTCGATCCCTGGTTGGGGAACTAAGACCCCACATACTGCATGGTGTGGCAAAAAAAAAGGATACCATCTATAAACAAAGAAAGTGCCAGACACTGAATCTGCAGGGACCTTGAACTTGGACTTCCCAGCTTCCAGAACCAAGAGAAACAATTTTCTATTGTTTATAAGCCACCCAGTCTGTGGGATTCTGTCCCAGCAGAACTCTCTAAAGTAAATAACATTATTGTTCCTGTTTAATTAAGAGACAGTGCCTGAGGCCAGGGACCAAAGTGTGTTTTGAGGGGCCTGAGGTTTATACAATTCTCTCTTTAAGAAGAATATAAAATTACAAAAACAACAATGCCTGGGCTTCTTCCAAAGCCCTTGAAGGGCCCTTGGAGCTTCCTCTGCTTTTTGCAGGAAACCCACCCAGGGTGGGTGGGGATTCATGAGCTCTCAGATGAAAAGCCCCCGGCAGTACATTTCCTGCCACAGTTGATGCTCAACAGACTTGGGACCTTGAAAAGCACAAGCAGGAGAGAGGGCTGGTCACAGGAGGGGTGTTGAGGCATCCTCACCTCTCTGCTGGCTTCCCTGACGCCAGCACCTTCTGTGAGGACATGACGATCGAGGGCGGCGTGGCTTCCCGGCGGCCATCACGTGTACAGTAGTAATTATTGGAGAGTTTGTGGCTGGGGCCCACAGGGAGCTTGGGAGGAGGCTGAGTTCTGAGGGAAAAGAACATGGGCACTGAAACAAAAATGACAAGTCGTTCTCACTGCATGGCTGTGCTAGAACATGGGCCCATCACCTCAGTCACGAGGCTTGGGGTCGGCAGCCCCTGGGATGTGCTGCAGGCCAGGGGTATCCCTTGATACACTGCCATGACCATATGCCTGGGGAGGGTCCAATGCCCAGAAGCAGGTGGGAGCCCCTGCATTGGATGTGAAGGTGCTGGAAGGCCAGGCCTGGGTCTGCCCCACCACAGGTCCCCGACCTGCCCCAAACGTGGCGGGTATGGAGGACCCTTTCATGAGGGAGGCCTGTTCCCACCTCTCCATGGCCCAGAGCTTGGCAGCTGGCCTCATTTCCACCACAGGTCCTCAGGAAATGAAGAGGCTGGGGCCTGGGGCT